GGGAGCGGAGGGGTGTAGCCACCCGGGTCTCCTGTTGCCCGCGAGTGGTGGGGCCGTTGGGAGCGGGGCTTCCTGCGTGGGAGGGCCTCCCCCGGCGGGGCTCCGGGCCCGCGCCTCCCGCTGTGGCTCAGGGCTTGGATGAGGTAACGTTAGGCCGTAGGCTCGGGCTCCTGCACGCGGTGCTGTCTCAAAGAGGTTACAAAACAAAGCCGCTAGCGTGCTCACCCTGTCTTGGCTTGCCTGCTGCCAGCCCTCCGCCTCGCTGGTCCCACGGGAGGAAACGCGGCGCGGACGGAAAGCGGAGAAAGCAGAACGAATGCGATTCATCCGCGTTTGGTGACAAGTACGGGCCTACAGACAACAGACTGGACAGGTAGGCACTGCGACGGAAGCGACTCTGCTCTTCTGCTCCTCAGGAGCTGTTGAACTGGCTGTTGTGCTCGGGGTTTCAAGCCCTGCCTACTTACGTATCACTCGGAGTCACTTCTTAAGAATAAACATTTTTCATTCTTCTGTCTTGAATTTATTCCTTATTGGTTTCTGTCCTGTTTCATGCTTGCTTACTGCTATTTGTCACCAAGCGATAACTGCACAAGCCAGGTATGTGTGTGTGTGGATATAGGCCATACATTCCATTCTGGTGGGATTAAACGAGGTGACAAATAATTCAGTTCTTAAGTCATCTGTCTTCATATTTCTGAAGGCAGTACAGACCGTCTTGAGAAGTTATGTCTAAGTATATGTCAGCACATGCGTGCTGGGGTCTACTCCTGAGGTCACTCGTGCTGTTGCTCGCTAGCATTTCCCAGCACAGGTAAACTTCAGTTTAGCGAAAGCATCTTGGTTCAGATCACTGTCTACTTCTGAGCTATTCATGCCACGGTCTCTTTAGTCCCTTTTATCAGTGGATGGGAGTTGTGGCCTGCAGCCCAGTTGATTGAATCTAGATTTCTAATTAGAACAAGATGGGCTATGCCCTGTAACCACCCATTTTTCTTTGCTGATAATAAGCAGGGAAGACATTGGTCAGTGGCTCAAATTCCAATATCCAGAGTAAATGAAATTAATTTCAGGAAGTGTGTTTTAATAGGAGGACAAAGATGAAACTAGACAGATTGCTTCATCAGTTCCAACCTAAATGAGCAATGTTTTTGTGTGTCTTCCCGTATTGAATTGAGCAGGCGTACTTTCAGGTGTAGTTTGGATTCAGCTCTGACTGATGTCATTCTCTTCCTGCCCTAAGACTACTTTTTGCTTATGCCAATTCAACATTGTCAAAATAAAGTCTTAAAATGGGAAGAGGATGGGGATGGAGGCAGTCTGAGGGGGGTTACAGCCTTGTTTTTCTGCCCCTCTGGCAGAGCGTGTGCACCACTTGCAGTCCTGTCGCAGCACCAGAACTTCTCACCGAGTGTGAAATGGCATGTGGGGCTGAGGGTCTGAAGAAAGGCAGCTAAGCTTAGTGTGTCTGGCACCAGTGCTGTCACAGAGTGAATTAATTGAGAGAAAAGCTGTAGCCTTATGTTCTCCTTAATACTCTGTATACACAGCACAGGTACAGAATCAAACAAGTATAAAAAGGTATGACAGTGTTGAGGAAAAAGCTGAGATGGTGGGACTGACTGGGTACTTCTGGGATTGCGCTGCTCTCTACCATGGGAGAGCAGGAATTGAATGTGGCCTGCATTTTCTGCAAAGTTAGAAATGAATATAAGCAAATGCAAAAAATCCTTGGAGGTTGGACAGATATTTGCAGAGGGATCTGTACTGTTTGCTGTGGATTTTTATTTTTTCTGAGTTGGTAACTGGGTTTCATCTAAAAAGAACTTTGAGTTTGAATTTGACAGAGACTTAGAAGTAGCACAAGCTGATTTCTGGGCTGGGAGCAGGAAGGGAGTTGGAACTGGTTTTAGCACGGATGGATCTAATTCTCTGACTTCAGGGGATGACTTTGTGCAGAATTCTGGTAAGTCTCCAGAGCGTTTCCAGATCTACTGAAAAAGCTTTGGTCTGTAAGATGTGGTTTTGAATTTGTACTCTAGGAAAATTGGTCATCAGGAGGACAGAAACTGGAAAACATACTCACTCTGAATGTAGACAACTATTGTTGGCTGGGAAGGGATATAAGGTTATTCCCCTGCAACAGTCTGAATCTGCTGGTGGTGCTAATGGGCTACAATAAAGTTGTTAAATACCAGTTTGCAAAGTCATAGCAAACCTCAGTTTAGTGGCTAAAAATTGACTGCTATTTTGTGCCTTTACCTTTTCTACTAGGTACATTTTAAAAAAACTCTTGGTGCTATCACGTAATTAATTAGCTGTACAATTGAATTCTGTGTTCTAACTTTTGTCTCTCATATAGCTAATGAGTTTGCAATCATGAAAGAAGAAATATTTGTTAATTCATTTAGTGGAGTGAAAATAAGTGAGTAAATGAATAAAGTTGGTATTTCACATACTGTTTTCTGAAGGACGCTAGCTTAAAGTTATTAAAAGTATAGGCTAGGTTACGTGCTACAGTGTAGATCTGTGTAAAAACATACCGTAAACTTTTTAAGGAAAAAAAGCCCAAAACCACAAAACAAACAAACAAACCAAACCATACAACCTCAAGTTGGAACTCTCAACTGATGCTTCCTTTTACAATGATGACGTTTTAATAGAACAATACAAGGTTTTTGCAGCCATTGTGAGTATTATAAATTAATATATTAAATAGCTATCAAGCTGTGAGTGGGGGAGATGCTGGGGGTGGGAAATACAATAAAATGAAATTTTAATGCAGAGGCTTGTTTTTTTTTTCTTTCTAGTTTTACAACACCAGAAGGCCCTGGACCCCTTTCCAGGTGTTCAGATTGGGGAAGTGCAGTGGAAGAACATGAAATGAGGACCAATGTTAACAAAGAAATTGCAAGGTACTGGTCGGGGTTTAAGATGAAGAAGGGAAAGGAGGGGAAATGGTAGTTGTCTTGTAGAATTTGTATTGACTTTTATTTTTAACTTCACCATTGTAGTAAAATTAGACCAACCTTAGCATCTTGTTTGCTGCTTTTAGGTCAGCTTTGGCTTAAGTCCTGCAGGAATGACATAGCATACTCTTTGGAGAGCTGATGTGTATCATCAAATATGTCCCTTTTGGAAAAATCCTTTCTTAAATCTCTCAGATTGAATTACTTTGTATGTTTTTTCAGTAATTACTGTTTTTGCATGTCATTGCTATTGAAAGAATTTTTATGAAAAGACTTGGGAAAAGAAAGTCCCCAGATTTTTTTTTTTTTTAAGAGGAAAACTGAAACATCAGTTCCATAGTGGAAAGGCATTTACAGTGTCTGGGTTGACTTCTTCAAGATTGCTGCTTAACTGACAAGTAAAATCAACTGTGAGCTGTGAGAGTGCAGCCTTACTTGTTCTCTTTGTGTATATTCTTAATATGTATTTGAACTCTTGCAGATACAGAAGAAAACTCCTGATAAATGAATTTTCAAGAGAAAGGAAGTCCTCCTCTGGAAGGTAGGTTAAACTTTAGCTTAGCTGAGGAAAATCCTCACAATAGGTATGAATTTTGACATATATCACTGTTGCTTCTGAAAACACTCCATTTGAAATAGTTCATCTTAAGTCTGCTCTAACGTGGTAGTTCAGTAACAGCACAAGCATTCAGCTGAAAAGTTTTAACGTGTTTCTTTATAATGTTCTACACGTGGGTTTGTTTGAGTGTCGCTTGCTTTCTAGTCCCAAATCTACAATGTTTTTTCTTTAGTTCTGATTCGAAGGAGTCCACTGTGACAGTAGAACTCGAGACAGATGAAGTGGTTTTGATGAGAAGACAAAAACAGATAAACTATGGAAAAAACACAATTGCATATGATAGATACATTAAAGAAGTTCCAAGGTAAGCTGCTTGAGTTCCTGGGAAACTACATGTTTGGTTGTAAGTCATACCTGTCACTTATAAGCATATTAATGTACTAAACTTGGTATCTGAGACATGTTCAAATAGAAGGCATCTACAAATTAAACTTTCTAAGATATTTTTTAACTGATAAGTCACACTAACAGTCAAATGAGATGTGGATTTTTTTTTTTACTAGTTGGTACATGAAGAATATCCCTTCAAACTTTCTCATGCTGCAGAAATGGAAGTGAAAGTTTTTTTTAGTTGTGCTTGTCAACTAGAAGAAACGAAACTGCTTTCTGCAGTCAAATTTCTCATTAGTAAACTAAAAGCCAAAATGGACTACAGTTTCTCTTGAGTTTGGAATAAGGTTTTCAGACCTATGAGTGACAATCCTTTTTTTTTATTTGACTCAAAGACAAACCTAAAAAGTTCATATGGAGCTGACAACTTTTCACTTGCGTCCTGGAATTGTTCAGTCTTCTCATAAATGATAAAACTTAGAATTTGCTGCGTTGTAACAAGTCTGTGTAGCAGGCAATAGTCTTGGCATTTAAAGCTACGTGTTATGTACGTGTGAAAAAAAACTAATGAATCTTTTATGTCTAATATCTGAATAGATGCCATCGTGTACCAGGAGTTCATCCCAGAACTCCAAATAAATTTAAGAAGTACAGCCGTAGGTCATGGGATCAGCAAATTAAACTATGGAAAGTTGCACTGCATTCCTGGGATCCACCTACTGAAGAAGGATGTGATCTGCAAGAAATGTATGTATATTCAGGATACCTTTATATAAATTTATAAAATCTCATGTTAAAAAAAAAACCCCGAAACAAACAAACCAGCATAGCCCTTTTTGAGCCAAGTTGGTGATTGCTGAATGTTTTCCTTAGTTACTTGTCCACTCTTTGTGCTATTCAGTTCCTTCTCGGTCAAAATAGCTAGTAGCTTTCTGGACCTAGTTGCCGGGACTAGACTTACCCAGTGCCCTTGCAAGGCGTACATATATATCCCTCACTTCTTTAATGTATGCCCACTGGATGAAATTGGAGCTTATTCGGCAGTGCTCTGTAAAAGAAAATACCGCACCACCGAGGCAAGCTGATTCTTTGAGCAGTCTGCAGATTGATCTGTGGTCGAAGCAGTGCTGGTGAGGTCTCGGTAATTAACAGATCTCATTAATATTAAGCTTGGACCAATACAACTTATGAGAACCTGCCTTATAGCCTTCTCACTTGCTAGTTCAAGAGCAGTGGTATAAATTCTTGTTTCTTGAGCAGAGAGGAGGAAAGTACTACTTGTAAAATCATCTCAAGATACCATTAAATTAAAAGCATGGCCACAAGTGTTCACAGTCCAAGCTACTGTGGTATTTTGCTGTAGAAGATGTAGAATAATGCAACTAGTTATTTTCCTCTATAGAAAGCAATAAAGCTGACCAGGGAACATGCAAAATAAAACTGGAGGACTACAGAATGAGGGGGACACGGATGTAACTAATTCCTCAGGAAACCGTTCTGTGGTGATAAACTACTGTTTTCTCTGGCAGCGATGCTAATTTAAAAACCAGTATGGAGCAATGGGATCTAAAAGCAAAGGCTTACTTTTAACTTCCTGTTACTTTTAATCAACATGGGAGGAGTTGGTATTTTGGCCTGAAGCCTACTGTGTATGTTAGTGTTGAAATACTAGTCAATCTTTCAGATGCTGGGATCTAGTTTTGTGTATAGCGGTTATTAAATCCTAATGTTGCAAAACAAATTGATGAAAAACTTGTGTGGAAAAAAATAATTCCTTGCTCTTCTATAACATTTGTCACTGTATTGAGGCACTGTTTGAGTGTTGGGTATTTGTCTTTGACAAGTTGCAGCACTCAATCTTAAGACTTTAATTTAGTCCTTGGCCATTTTGGCTGTATTGAGTTGACATGTTCTTCTCTTTGGTCGCTGCAGGTTGCTGCCACTGTCCCTATAATCTCTGTAGGTCTCTCTGCTCTTATTAGGTGATCATTTTCAGAACGGCACCTACAAAGTGCAACTTTATTACTAAAAATTGAATTTGTTTTAAGCTGTAAGCTTTTTATTTATTTTACAGTAGTCCTGTTGACCTTGGTGAGATGGAGACAGAATCTGTCGGAAGCAATTCTACTGAATCTCAAACGAGCTGTCAAGATAATGATGTAAGCATATTTGCATAAATGTTTGTTAATAATTGGTCCATTACTTGGAACTAGATCCAGAGTAGCCTGAATACATAAGAAATTCAGTATCTGCTGTGTTTAGGGACTGTTGATAAAGCTGAGGGATCTTTGGATTCAGACTTTTTCCCAGCTATAGCCAATATCTGTCTGTAGTCTGAGTTCAAAGAGTTAGGACTTAAGTGACCACCTCGAATGACAGTCATCTCATTTTTCATAAACTGCAAAAGAAAATACCTGTTCAAAGCATGTCAGTTATAAACTGTGAGGTACAGTGGAAACACTACTTTAGATTGCAATATGTAATGATAAAATAGGATGTAATTTTCTTGGCCCACTTAGACTTTTTGAAGTAGGCTCTTCTTACATCCAGTAAGCATTTAGTACAGATGAGCAGTAACCTTCAGTAAATATCTAGTAATGTTTTTTCTTGCTGGATTAGTTTCTCGGGTGAATATTGAATCTGTATGATCATTTCATGTATACATACATAGGTCCTTAAAACATTTGCAGAAGATCTTAGAATGTGGTTGAATGGGCAGAAGCCTTCATTTAAATCTCTTCAATCTGAAGACTAGCCTTGGGTTTTTGTATGGCCTGTAAAGTGTTTGTAAGCCTCTGTTATAGGGTGGTCTAAACAACTTGCAGAAGTGAAATGAATTATTGCATAACTAAACCTGTATTTAACTGCTAATTATTAACTGACTTTGTGTTCCAGGATACCTGTTCTGGCACTCCCACCAAAGTTAGACATATTGACTATCAAGCAGAAGGTGAATTTGACTTGGAAGTGTGTTTGAGTGAACCACTTAAAGATTTCAATACTGTGAGTTAAGTAGTCTCATGCAAACTGTTTTAGAGGAAATTACTTTTACATTTGAGAAGTTGGCTTGGTTCATAAACTGTTAATAGGAAGAAAGCTTAAGCAAAGTTGAAGAATATTTTCTAAGTTGTGGTTGGTCTACGTATTCTCTGGACCAAACTTATGTAAAAATACAGTTAAGTTGTGTGACTTCTTTTAAACTTTTAATTTATGTATATCAGATTTTTTTAATAAAACCTTTCAACAGAAAAAATAGCCAAAGGCAATGCTATCCTCAAGTAATTATAAATTGTTCAGCAAGATCTTACTGATTTTTTTTTCCTCATTGTGTCTATAATTGCAGTTGCTCACCTGCAGATCAAGAGCAAAGTAGAGAGATATTTTTGAGCATCTGTATGTTACCTTGCTTTTCCATCTGACTTTACTATAAGGATCTGACTTGAAGTAATACAGGTGGTAGCTGAACCACACTGCTGATTAGTACTAGTAAACTCATCTACTGCAGTTATTTTGTGTAAGATTAAACTGCCTTGCCTTTTTTTTTTTTTTAAAAAAGCGGATTCTTTTTTATTTGCAAAATATTTCTGCTGGGAAATTAAATACTTTTAAAAAAATTGGAGGTCAGTGTGGTAAAGCCCAAGCAATAATGCTTTAAGAAGCAGTAGCCTTAATTTGAAATTTGTAAATAGTCATGAGTCATTTGTTAATACAGTCAAGAAAACAATGTGTCAGTAAAGTGCTTGATTCTTTTTAATTTGGTGATTTTAAATGTAAAACTGTTATGAATGATAACACTGTACAGATTTTCTGCTGAAAGCAGTTAATGTTTTCATTACTTTTGTATGGGATGTTGCTGGAAAATAAACATAATTGCATTTACTTATGACACTCTAACTTCATTTCCTCCTAGTGATGTTCTGTGGATAAAAAAATGCAGGAAAATACTGAAAGCCATGCGTGTCAGACTGATACTGATGCCAGGCTAGGATATGTGTGTGTTAGCAGTGTCCTCTGACTTTGAGGGAGACCTTAAAAGCTATTTCTCGGTGTGCAGGCCACTGGGGTGGAGTTAAGACTTGGTTATAATGGCTAAGCCTGTTGTTGACCTTTTGCAGACTCCTTAGAAGCAGTTTAGTCCAGTAGATGTCCCTTAGCTGATTACCAAATTATGTTCTGTAGAAAAACTTCTAGAAGAGCTAGGTGGACATTTCATTCTTGTTTACTATACAGGACTTCAACAACAAGTCGCCTCACCGGGTTTTCTCTCTAAAACAGAATTTCTGAGTGTTTGTGTTACAACACTGTCAGGCTCAATGCAGCACTTAAACTTTTCCACTTAAGTAAGTATCCCAGCTGTAAGCAGTATTACTAGCTATCTAATTTGTTGGGCACTCTTAAAATCTTGTAGCTTGATCTGATGGGTAAACTTCCAAGAGGAAGCAGTGGCACAGGGGGAAGGATGGAGGTGTGCTCTGGTGTTAAGGAGACAGCCTTCCTAACATGCATTTTTTCCAGAGAAGGCAGCAAAGTGATAGTTAGTCCTGCTTACTTCCTGGAGTAAGCCTTCTCTGCCCTCCCCAGATTGCTTTTCCCATGGCTCATTTTTTGTCCACTCTGTCCTTGGTTGTTCTTAAGTGTTTTTGTAATACTTAATTGTAGCTTGAGCTGCAATTTGCTTTGGAACTTTTTTCCTATATCCCCTTCAATAAAAGTGGACTTAGGGTTAAGCCAAACTCTTCCATGTCTAACTAGAATAATTTGATGCCTTTACTTAAGGCTTCTACGTAATGGCTAAAAGGGTTTTAAACTAGACTTCCCAGGTAGCACAGTAACAGTTCTGTGTGTCTCAGTTTTTAACTTTGATCATATGCAATTGTCTGTTGGGCTTATTAAGCTACTTGGGAACACTATTTTAAGTCATGGTTACTTACTGTTAGGTTTTTAATGGTTAATGCATCTAATTTGCGTTGGACACTTAAAGCTTAACACAGTTCTGTCCCTGTGCCGCTTGACTGTTAGTAACTGGTGGTACTAGACTATTAAGAGTGTTTTTTTGAGAATGTGTGTTATTTCTGAATGATTTAAAGGTTAGTAATGAGTAACGTGAAGCCAAGAACAAAACCATTCATGGCTTAAGTTACAAATAGTTCACGCAGCTGAACATCAGTCTAGAATAGGGTATTAATGTTTAAGGATGTGTTTCTACCCAGTGTGTAATGAGTAAGGCAAGATTTCTGTAGAAAACTGCATATTGCGTACTTGGAAACTAGTATTTTTTTGTCAACTTGACTATCTTCATAATCTTGAAGTGCAGGTCAGTAGTTAACATGCAAACTGTGACACATCTAAGTGTCATCAGGAGACACCAGGTGCTTGAGCTGCTTACAGGCTTGCTCTAGTGAGCAGTAATTGCTGTAGTGAGCAGTAATACTCAGGCTGTATAGTTTGGTGGTGTAATACTGGAGTGGCTATGCAGTGAATTAGGTGATCATTGAATTTGCTTCTATTCGTGCTACTCAACCTCAGGCTATACCTAAACTGTGCACGAATCACTAAGGTTGGAAAGGACCTTCAAGTAAAGTGGCAGAACTTTTCAAGGGTACACCCAGGCTGTTCAGGATATCTTAAATGAACATTAAGTCCTTGGGTACTAACAGATACATGTAGTCTCATCTCCTGGGTAACACAAGCCATAAAATACCACCCTGAATTATCCTGGAGTGAATCAGTAACTTTAATCCTTTATGTGGAGAGCTGGGGTGAGGCAGTATCGGAGTCCCTGTGCTAGAAGGGAAACAATTAGATGAGATTTTTGGGGAGGGTGGGGGGGAGGGGGTGGTGGCGTGTTAATCTGTACATGGGTATCGGAACAGTCAGTAGAATGTTTTTAAAAGTAGTTTTTCTACACCACTGTGTCTAGTCAAACAGGTTGGATTGGTGGAATATTCAGAAGATTGTTTAGAGGCTTCCAAAGGGTAAGGCTATTTACACCTCGTTTCGAAATAAGAATATTGAACCTAATAATTACCCACTGAGATAGCTAGAGGAGTTGCATATATTTCGGAGCTTATTGTACAAAAATTTGTTACGCTACTAGTCTGAAAAATGTCTCTCTCTCTGAAAACCAATTTTTATCAAGCTTTTTCCATAACTTCACAAAAAATATTCATTCCAGAAAGCATTTTAAGTATGGTATCTGAGTCTGTTAATATGGTTTTTAGTGAGAAAATAATACATGAACAAATACTATTAAAACAAACAAAAAACCCAAATGACGATCTTTTTGAGTAATTTGGGTTCTCTGTGACAGTCCTTATGATTTTGTGACTTGTGTTCTTTGGAATCTGTACCGGAGAAGGAAATGTAGGAGTCTTTCTCTGACTAAAAGATTCAGGTAAGGGGGAATGTGGGGAAAACAATGTGAAGAACCATAATACCTACGCAGAATAGAAAGATACTAGGCAAACGGCTGAGACTAGTACTTTTCTGTTACAATGAAAAGTATAACAAATACTTCTACTTCGGAAAATGTCTTGAGATGCTTTTAAATTTCTGCAGAGTAGCTTCTCTGTGGTTAGTCCGTAAACTCGTATATAATTTGGGACAAATCCAACTAACCTGCTACTACTCAGCCAAGATTTTCAGCTTAGACCTTGGGGTATGATCGCCTTGTTCTCAGCGTTGCGTGCAGCTTGCCCTCGGAGCATCGCGCCTCATACACGGCTGTCTGCCCCTTTGAGATGAACGTTGCTTTTCACTGTGCTGCACCCCCTCGGCTCCATCTGTGTTCCATCCTTTCAGAGCTGCGCTGTGTCGCTGCTTCTTCAGAGTGCACCGTCCTATGGTACTGTTCCTTTTTCTGCACTAATTTATCCCTGGTTTTCTTTTCCTCTAACCTGCTTCAGCTAGATTACAGATCACTTAATTCTGCTGATGTTGTTAAAAGCTCAGCAGGCATTCTCGCCAAGGAACTAGGTAGGTGTGGATAAAATATTTCAGCCCAGAAATGCAGCTGGTCCATGTTCAGTGGTAGTTGTTTGTGAAATGGGCTTAGATTTTTGAATGTATCCTGAAACAGGCATCCATAGTAGCATCTTTAATCCTAGGAATTATTCCCCTTTGGTTCACGTTCTTAGAGAACTTAGTTTTTACGGATTGCATTCAGAGTGATCACGTTGCCCGAATTGGGATGTTTTTTCAAAGATGCTGAACACTGAATGGGAAAAAAACTTTTTCTGCATTACAATAAAGTCCTCTAGTGGGCAAATGTGGGATAACCTAATCCCGTTTAGGTTAATGTTTGGTAATAGACTAATCGTACGGGAAAACAACATCCATATGTTCAGTTGTGCATAGTTGCAGACAGTGGAGTTTGCTGCAGATGGTGAATTGGCAAGTACTGCTGCCAAACGTTAGACTTATTAGGTTAAATTCCATTAAAATAAAGATGAACAGGTTGTTACGTAGGCAGCAGAACCTGTCAACCCTGCTTTTTATAGATTTGTGCCTTCTGTTTTGTGTTTCTCTTATTCCTTTTGCACCAAGTCTTGTCCTCTTCCAGCATCCTTCATACCATGCCTGCCTAACCAACAGCACTCTTAGCTGTGGCTCATTTAAAGCTCCATCTGGTTTGACTGGATAGTTGATATACACGTGCTGATAAGATGGCAAACAGAATGTTTTAAGAGCTAAAGTGTCCCAGCTTTTCCTTCACTTGGGCATTAATTGGGTCTTCCTTCATTACCTGGCTGTTGTCACATCAAGCTTAAAGGAACATATATACCTTTTTGTTAAATACCTGGAAAGGTAGCTCAAAATTTAGAGGGTGCAGGACAGATGTTTTGAAAAAAAACTTGACAGTACAACGATTTCAGCCTCTTTAAGGAAGCCAAGCTAAAACCACCTTTGTTCCATGAATCCATTTTTAAGTCAAAAATACCGTTCAAACAACATTTTGTTCATGCATGTATTTACTAAAATTATTTTTAGGATTATCTGCTTTGTCATGTTGCTAATGCAGGTAAAACCCCTGGTATAGAGGCAAGGCATCCATAGAGCAA